TCTATTGTCACTTCCTGGGTCCCTCCCACTCTTGGGGGGGGAGGGCAGGGAGTGGGGCAGGAGGGTTTAAAGAATTAGACCCACCAAGTTGCCACTTCTTAAACACATATGCACATTAAGCATTCATTCAGAAGCTTTTTATTGCAAAGCAAAAGTACACTTCAAAGAGAGAAGCGGGTGTGTCTCTGAGAGTGAAGACACTGTGGGGGTTGGGGTACACTGGCTTATAAAACTATGGGGTCTCCTCCTCTAAGAATGGGCTAATATTTATTGATTAGGAGGAGGAGTCTGTTGAATATTCATTTGATTTTTTTAATAAAGAGGTACAGACTTCTTGGAAATGGAGTGCTGCTAACTTCTTCCTCTTTGTGACCAGTTGCTTTTTTCTATCAGGGTTTCAGGTCCTGATATCTTTATCTCTGTCTCCATGGTGTTCTTCTCAATGTTACTATTCTTGTTGGACTAGAGATGTTTTCCCCTTTTCATGATCTCTGGGCAAAGGGGCAGATATGAAGCCAGGGTAAGAGAGGCCTAGGTAGTGAAGTGTCCAGCTGATATGAAGTGGGGGGAGGTGCGTAAGAATGCCCAAACTTACAGATAGTACCCATTTGACCTAGCTTAGATGGCTTGATGATCCAAATTACACTTGAGGAAGATAAAGAAATTTGATACAGAAGCAAGGGTAAATTGCTACAATTTGATAAACTTTACCTTTACTTATGGGCGTAGTAGTTCAAAATACTGAGAAGGAAGGAGTCTTCACATCAAGGATCAAGCCTATCCCCTCAGTATACAGGGTTAATAGGGATGGGCAACTTAGACATTGGTTACCTTAACATGGTAGGGTGGGGGGTGGGGGTGTACTGTAAAGGCACAGAAGTGGCTGGCTTAGAAGTTTTCAAGAGGGAATTTGGTTTTAGAGTGTGTGGGGGAGGGTAGAATTCCCACTGAATAATTTTCATCTTGTCTAGATGGGCCTGGTGAAAGGAGATGGGGATAGGATTCTTTTATTCATAGTGAGTAACTGTTATCATGACTAGTTGTGATGGTCACAACTGTTAATGGTGAAGTTGTGTAACATAAAGCGAGAAGTAGTTAATCTTACATTCCAGGAACAGAGGACCTTAGGGCTATCAAGAGAGAAGAGCACGAACAAAACATAGGACCCTATCCAGAGAAGCAGCAACACCAGAGATGGAGGCAGAGGTGAGGACATGGCGAGATACAGCAGCTGAGGACTCAAGCTGGCAGCCAGGAGGAAGGCTTTCAGGATTTGTCCTTTGGTTGTTTAAATGATTATTATATATTCCTGAGTGTTTTTGTGTACATCAAAAAAAAAACAAAAAACAGATGGACTAGAAACAAAACTGTTAAATGATGATGCATGGAAGGGATTGTAATCATTGCAATGAAAGAAAATATGATGAGTGCAAAACCCGTGTTCTCCCATGTAAACCATCACTTAATTCACAATTAAAGCTTTAAAAAAAAAAGTAGGGGGGGGCGGGGAGGAGGCCTAGATCTTAACTTGTCCCTGACACTATGTTTCTAACTTTTACTTTCCAACCACTAGTAATTATCAATGCATCTTGATTGCAGAAGTTGGTTAACATTTTCAATTTCTTCATATTTGGCATTAGTGGTTGGTGTGTAAATGTGAATAATAGTCATATTAACTGGCATTCTTTGTAGGGAGTTACATATTATCCACAAATATTGTTGTTGTTGTTAAGTGCCATAGATTACATCCTAGAAAATCCTATGGGGTAAGTTCTACTCTGTCACATAGGTTGTTATGAGTCAAAATTGACTCACCACATAGAAATGAAGAAAATGCTGCTTTTATGTAATATGCATTTTAACCAAGTGGTGTATGGGTGTCAGACAAAGTATAGGCGGTGTTAAGGCTCCAGGCAAGGAATCATCAAGGTAGCCTAGAGTAACTAACAGAGGCAATGTAGCTCAGTACAAGGGGCATTAGAGGAGAGGCAGAAAGAGACTGCAGAGGGAAGCAGAGCTATGCTAAGGGTGTTGATTCTATGAAAGCGTGGCAAAGCTATTGAGAGATTTGGAGGTGAGGGAGTAAGTACAGTTGTAATCACATGCCTTTTCTCGTCTTGTTAGCATTTTTAAAAGATTATTCTGACTGCCTGGTAGAGTGGGTGGAGGCCTAGGGGAGTAGAAGACAACCGACCTGTTTGGCTAATTATAGCAGTCCAGGCCACTGATAGTGATACTTAGACAGGAGAGCTGTCAATGAAGTGGGGAAACGCGAAAAAATTCAAGAGATATTTAGGAGTTAAAACCAATAGGATTTGAACAACAAATAAAGGATGTGTCAAAGATGATAGATAGGTGTCCCACTAGGTGGAAGGTGATTGGATTCACCAAGATACCAAAGCCTAAGCTGTCTCTCCGACAGCTTTGGTGAAGCAGATCACAAGATCTAGTTTGGGCATGCTGAATTTCCCCATGAGGAAGCTTGAAGTTCTCTTGTGAAATTCCAAGCAGTGGCCTGAACTAAAGGAGCGCTGGTAGGAAGAGGAGTGGACAATTGGGAATTATTAAGGATACAAACCCCCCAAGACTGGCTGATTGCCTTGATGTGAGGGGAAAGGGCAAGAGACTAGATGACCCCTAGATTTCTGACAGGCAGCTGAATAGGGGACAGGAGAAGTCAGTCTGGGAGCAAGTGAAGATAGATACTCCTGTCTGTATCACGTCTTTTCTCCCCTTCCTAGCATTAACTGCCTGCCACTCATCCACTCATTCCTCACTGAAAAACTGATGTTGACACTCCCATTCTCTCTGTTCCCACTGTGATCGTGTAATTCACCTTTTTCTCTTCTGACAGGTTCCCCCTGATGGAGTCCCAAGGAATCAAAATTAGACATGGCCAGAAAGTATCCACTACTTCCTACATAGACTATCCTCCCCTACCTCTCCCACTAGACCTTAAACAACTAGGGGGAAGGCAATCTGTCCTATTCATTGTTGTATCCCCAATACCTAACATAATTGTCAACACATAGGAGATTTAGAATACATGTGGGGTTGAATGAATAGAAGAATGCATGCTTGCCTCTGGGAAGACTTCCTTTAATGTAATCTAATTCTTTTCCTATGAACCAGGATATATTAATCTACTTTCCTAGGGAAAGGACTATGTAAGTGTTTCAAAGATTGTTTGAGTGGGTGTGGAGTTTTATCTGTCCATCAGGTTATAAATTAAGGAACTATTTCCTTTGTACCATATTTTTTGGCAAGTAACACACACACTATAAAATTTTTGCAAATTGTGCAACCCCTTCACATGTTAGTTTACTGTTAGGTACTATGTGCATGCTTTAATTTATATGGGTAGGTTACATGCAGGAAAAATACAGTGGTTGTTGGATCTTGAGAAAACTGAAGAGTTTTTCCTTCTCCAACTCTGCAGTGCCTTATTCCTATCCCCACATCCTCCTAAAACACACGCTACCCCTCAGAAACCCATAAACTTGCTTCTCCCAAGCAATCAAAGCCCAAAGAATCTAAAAGATATTCATAATGAAGTTATAAATTACTTATGAAGTATAACAAGCGCAGGTCTCTCTGGTTGTTCCCTTACAAGAAGATATCACCATATATGTATTTTGAGAAGATCATGTCCAAAGCTTAGGGCTTCGGGAATTTTAAGTAACAACATTCTACATGAAACCACGATCAGCAAAAAGCTGACTCTGTTCTATTAAGGTCTGCCGATTTTTTTTTTTTCCCCTTCCTGCCACCAAATCAATCACGGGGGGGGGATGATCTGCCAGCCAATCGGAGCTGATGAGCACACAAATGGGTACCCCAAGAAAATATAAGGGACCAGGCTGGGGCAAAACCAGTCCCCTCCCCACTAAGAATACACGAAGTGGCAATTTCTCCATATCACTGCTCCCCCCATCCAATACCTCCGTGACAAAGCTAATACACGCACCCTGAAGCGCAGCCAGGATCCCCACGATACCCGTTCCGGCGCCCAGTTCGATCACTTTCTTGCCTCGGAAATCCACATTTTGACTCTCGAAATAGTTGCACAGGCTCAGCGCCTAGGGGAGAAAAAAAGTGGGGGGAAAGGGCTGTCGAAGGGATGGTTTCCACTGGGAGAGTCGGAGTCGGACCTCCCGGTGACCCTCACAAGGAGCAGCCCACTCCTCACCGCGTCCCATACGCGCGCTGCCACCCCAAGACGGGACCCGAAGTTCTGCGTGATGCTCAGCACGTGCCCACAGAAGCTGAACAGACTCTTCTCAGAGTAAGAGTCGGCAAAGAGCCCGATCTCCCGTGGGAACACAGATTCTGGCTCTGATTCCGGCTCTGGGCCTGGGTCCGCCATCCGGCGGAGCCTGCCAGGCACCACGTCCCTCACTAGGATCCCGGATCTGCAGCGGGGCGGGGGTGGGGGCCGCCTCAGCGTCCCTCAGTACCGAGCCCCGCCTCCCTGAATTTGCCCTCCTTCCTCTAGTTTGACTTCCTGGAGGTAGGATGGGGAGCTGCTCCTCCCCTGACCCAAGTCGGACCCCGAGGGTCAGATGGAGCAGACAGTCCGAGACCGAGGGGTTAGGGAGATGAGAGAGTATTAATTCCACAGTAGGAGGCTAGGTCCCCAGAACTCTCTCACCTGTGAGCGAACAGGTGCCTGCAACCAGGAGAGTAGCCCAGACCCAGGCACCAGATGGTGTGGAGCAGCCCTCCTGTACTCGCCCCTCTTGACCCTCCAAGCCTGTTATTGTTGTCAAGTGCCCTCGAGTCGGTTCCGACTCATAGCGAACCTGTATAGTGTTCCCAAGAAGCGGCGCTGGTTGGTTTGAACCGTCAACGATGTAGTTAACAGTTCAGTGCTTCTCCGCACCAGGACGTCCCACCCAGCCGAGCCCCACAAAATTCGCGCTTGGGTCTTTAAGGGGCGGGATCTGCTGGTAGCTTGCTGGATTTCGTCATTGTCGTGCGCCTCTAGCCTCGTTCTCCACGTGGGTTCGGTGGAGAAGCCCGGGACTGAAGATCATGGAGGGAACTGAGACTGGGAACGCTGCTGGAACAGAGGCCCCGCAGCCGCAGAAGCGCTACTACCGGCAACGTGCTCACTCCAACCCCATGGCGGACCATACGCTGCGCTAGTGAGTCAACAGGGCAGGAAGCAAGGGCAGAAGGGGAGAAGAAGGCGAAATTCTCAGAACAGCACGGAGAAGCTCGGTCCCACGTAAAAGGGGCGAGTGGAACCGTGGGGAGGACTTCGAATGGACTCGGGATCAGCTGGATGACGTCTTTGTCGTTAGGGGTGTGTCTGGAAGGTGTGACAGAGGGCGGAGTTGACCGGTTAGGAATGAGCGTGGCATTTTGGATGAATTCTGTGTAACGCTGCAAATCTAGAAAGAGAAAGAAATAGTTACTTTAGAACAAAGCGAAAAAGACACTGTGTCGTTTGCATCTTCCGGTTTCGTTTGTTGAATTTAATAAAACACACACGTACACTCTCAATCCCCGACCCATAAAGTAGGGGCCCAGGGACGTAGGTAGCCAGTCTCTGTAAGAAGGGAAACAAATTTCTGTCTCATCCAGGGGCATAACAACCCCTAGAAACGGAGATGGTCAGGGTAGCAATCATGGACCTCATGATGGACCTATGATTCACACTAGAGGTTAAGGGTGGTTTCCAGAATGTCCCCTCGAGGGCACAAGGCCCACTGTTGCAGAATTATTGAGAAACCTCCTTCCACCCTTCCCACTCTCAGTCACCCACGCACACACAATACCACTTCTGCTTTGTATGACCAACATTCTCACATCTCTCACGTCTTCTCTCCAATAGCCCTGTGAAGCCAGAGGAGATGGACTGGTCTGAGCTATACCCAGAGTTCTTTGCTCCACTGACCCCAAATCAGAGCCATGATGACCCAAAGGAAAAAAAAGAGAAGAGACCTCAGGCCCAAGTGGAATTTGCAGACATAGGCTGTGGCTATGGTGGCCTGTTAGGTAACACTCTGGCCCTTTTTGGGGGGCAAGGAGAGGCAGTGACCTAGGTTCTGCCATTTCAGCAGGTTTGGCAGAGCCAAAATTGTCCTTTTGCCTTCCGACCAAACGTTGGCGCCGTGACATCAGTATGGAGAGCCTCCGCCTTCCCTCTACTCTGGGCCTATGGACTTTGGCCTGGAGAAAGGAGGGGACTGCCTCAAACACGTCTTAGAACCTGGGTTGTGCTGTCTGGCCCCACACCTTGGCCCCAGTTCCTGCGTGAGTCATTTCACTTGCTAGGTGCTGGGTCAGTGAGCTGGTCAGCACAAGCGTCAGAGATTAGCCACTGTGGTCAGTGATCCTGAACTGTCTCAGGGATTCCACCACCTCCCCTCTTCATCCCCCAACCCCCATCTTACCAGACTCATTCCTACTGCTCCTCTCTGTGTTTTCAGGTCCCTCCTTATTGTCTTGTGTTGTTGTTACTGCCCCAGCTATACCTCTAGGGCCAATTCCATATTTTTAGATCTTCCCATACAGACAACTGTATGACAGAGAGGAAGAGCATGGTATTTGAATCAGAAAACCTTGGTTCAAGTTCCAAGTCTAACCTTTCTTAGTTTTATGACCTTGGGTATTTCTCACCCTCTGTTTTCTCATCTTTGCAGTTTACCAAGTATTTATAAGGCTTAAATGAGTCAATGTATGAAAACTTTAAAGTATTTGCAAATGTATATGTATTACAAGCCCTTCCATTTCTAGTTCTGGTGACAATTTCTGTATCTACCCCAGTCCTTTTCTCTATCGTGTTGTTAAGTGCCATTGAGTCAGTTCCAACTCATAGTGACCCCGTATAGGGTTTCTAAGAAGCGTGAGTGAGTTTGAACCACCGACCTTGTAGTTCAAACCAACCTTGCAGTACACAGTGCTTTATCCCACAGTACCATACCAGAACTCTAGCATAGAGCCATTTATATACAGTGAAACCTGTGAGAGCTAGAACTCACTAGGACTGCCTTGCTCTTCCAGGTCTCACAAGTTTTCCACCTTTGACTGTATAGTTCCCACATTTCTATCACTCTCTAATGGAAAATATTTGAGTTTTTCTTCCTTTACAGATTTCACCTTCCACAAATTCCAGCTTTTGCAGGTTTTACTATACAAATATCCCCAACCCCACTTGCCATTCTAGCTTTGATAGTTGCAGATTGAGAAGTCCTTTCTTGTTTTGACCCTTTTGCACTTCTTACAAGTCTGGTTAATGATGCCATTCCTATTTCTGTTTCTAGTGGAACTGTCACCACTGTTCCCATACACACTGATTCTAGGCCTGGAAATTCGGGTGAAGGTTTCAGATTACGTGCAAGACCGGATTCGGGCCCTACGCGCAGCTCCTGGAGGTGGATTCCAGAACATTGCCTGTCTTCGTAGTAATGCCATGAAGCATCTTCCTAACTTCTTCCAAAAGGGCCAGGTGGGGAGGGGCCTGGTGGATGAGGCTGGTAGGTGGACCAGGGTGTGGAAGCCAGGCCCTCACCATTCTGTCTGTGCACGTCTGTCTCACAGCTGACGAAAATGTTCTTCCTCTTCCCTGACCCACATTTTAAGCGGACAAAGCACAAGTGGCGAATCATCAGTCCTACTCTACTGGCAGAATATGCCTATGTGCTAAGAGTCGGGGTAAGTTGGGGGTGGGAGGAAGGGTAGGGTAAGTGGTTTGTTTAGAGGCCCTCCCTAATGATTAAATGGGGGTGTTTTAGGGGCTCACCCCCCACTACTCCCATCATCTCAATGCTAGATGCCTGCAGCCCCTTGTCTAGACTGATTTTGCCTATGCAGGGGCTGGTATATACAATAACAGATGTGCTGGAGTTACACAACTGGATGTGCAACCATTTTGAAGAGCACCCTCTATTTGAACATGTGCCTCTGGAGGAGCTGGTAAGTAGGAGGCCTAAGGGAATTTTCAAAGATGCAGATCTTTCCAGAATGGTTCTGTATCCTTTGAACCCAGCTCAGTGTGAGGAGGATGAACAGGAACCTAGAAGCCAGAGTAATTTGAAAGGTGGGCAAAGACTTATCTCTAACCTTTCTTCTCCCAGAGTGAAGACCCCATTGTGGGATATCTGGGTACCTCAACTGAAGAGGGAAAGAAAGTTCTACGCAATGGAGGGAAGAATTTTCCAGCCATCTTCCGAAGAATACAAGATCCCATCCTTCAAGCAGTGACCCCCAGTCCCACTCTGCCTGCACACTGACTACTCACCTTGCCTTAGCTGGACCACTTATTCGAGAAGCCAAAAAGATTAGACTCCCGTCCATCCCACCCTACCCTACCCCACTCCACACCCCAACCCTCAGCCTTCCCAGACCAAGTGAAATACCCTAACTCTTCTCCCTGTCTTGCCCTCTCTTGCAAGCAGAAAGCTGAAGAAGCTAACTGCAAAGGTCAAAGGACCTTGGACTAGAGGGGATCTTGGGTGGGTGTGGGTTCTTGCTCACCCTTAGCATTCTCCTCCTGAGATCTCTTCTCAGCTGGAGTGAGGAACACAGTGCTCTCCTGTACATCTAAACTGCCTGCTGGGCTTAAATCACCTGTCCACTTGTGTTTACTTTGCAGTCCTGGGGATAATGTGTACACATGCCCATGTCGCTGAAAAGGCTGGAGTGTGTATCATGTGCCCTCCCTCACCCACCCATTCACTTCCTAAGACTGAAGTTTGCTGTCTGTTGTTACCATCTCTGGAGAGTCCCTAGATGGTATGGGTGGAGACCCTCTCCTTCATGTTGACCTTCAGTTTCAGAGCTGACTGACTGGCACAGAGCCCAGTGCGGGCCGCTGGGGAGTGGGAGAGTTAGGAACAGCGAGCTGAACTGAATAGGATTCTGAAGCTAAGAGTGGAAGGGCTCTGCTAACTAGAAAGCCCCCTCCCATTCTTTCAAGAGAGGACTGAGTCAGGGATTCTGAGCACTTGACATTTATTCAGTTTCGGGGGCCAGAGAGAATATCTGAACTTTTCAAAATTACAAAAACCTTCATTTCTGCTCCTCAAGCCCCCAATTCCCATGACTGGAGGGATACAACATTTTGATCAGACAATCCCTCACTCAGAGAACAAAGATGAAGTTTCCTGGAGTCATATAACCCATGAATACACGCAGCCATTTGCCCAACCTATAGAGGAGGGGAGATTGGTAGATGAAGGAAAACCACTGGTGTGCTATAGGATCAGCACTAGTGCGAACCACAAGGTCCATGGTTCAAACCCACCAGCTGCTCCTCAAAAACCTTATACAGGGTCTCTATGAGTCAAAACTGACTCAGGGACACTTCACGACATAGAGAGGGGAGATCGGTGGATGAAGGAAAATGTTGCTCACCATGCACAGTAGTTGCAGCCCAGCTGAGCCAAGAATTTCGGGACATCTACAGCTACACCTCTTCTCTGATTCCCTTCCCTTAGGAGCTGGAAGACGGGGAATTCCTGAGGACAGGCTTGAAGGACAAGTTTCCTGGGGAAGTGGTGGAAATACCAAGAGCTGATTCATGTCCCATGGTCTTAGTTATCTAGTGCTGCTATAACAGAAATACCACAAATGAATGACTTTAGCAGACAAATTTATATTCTCGCAGTTTAGGAGGCTAGAAGTTCAAGTTCAGGATTCTAGATTTGGAGGAAGGTCCTTGTCTCTTAGCTTCTGCTCCTGGGTGACCTTGATGTAGCTCCAAAAGTCTCAGAGCACATCCTATACCAATTCTGTCTCATTAACATAAAAATTGGATTAAAACCAAAGGCAGAGAGGTTAGGAATTACAACACATAATTTGGGGGGCACAAAATTCAATCCTTAACAGTATCCCAGAACCAAACCAGTTGCCCTCTAGCCTTCCCCTGGAAAGGACCTTTAGGCTGCTGGGCTAAACCAAGAGGAAAAACTGAGGCAGGCTACCTGCCTTTGAGGTCCATGGGAGTTGCAAAGGCAGTCCCGCCTAGCATTCCTTTGAAGGCACCAACTTGGTGCTGATACCCAGCAAGGACCTCTACTGGGAAGAGATTGGCTGCAGAATTTAAAGAGGGGGCGTCACCGCTCCCAGCCCAAGAGTTAAATAGAGGTTCTGGGAAGCAGGCAAAATGCTCCAGAGAAGTTCTCTCTATAGTGGTCTTTCTGAGCCAGATCATGACCCAGACCCTCAAGATCGCCTCTAAGATGTTCCATCGAGTTCTCTTGGCACCCCAGCTGGGCTCAAAAGGAGCGGACTCAGCGCCCCGGAGCTTGGCAGATATCCCAGGCCCCTCTACACCCAGCTTTCTGGCTGAACTCTTCTTCAGTGGAGGGCTTTCGCGGCTACATGAGCTGCAGGTAGGGTTAAAGTGGGGACTCCGTTCCGGGACTGAAAACTGGGGAAACTGACAATTCCAGAAAGGTCAGTCTAGTGCAAACCATAGAGGGCCGGTAGGACTGCTATCCGTAATTTTTGCAAAAGGGAAGTTGAGACTGGGGGCTGTAGTTGGACTGTGCAGAGTCAGTTCGTATAGTGTTTCCAAGGCTGTAAATATTTACGGGAGCAGAAAGCCTCATCTTTCTCCTGTGGAATTTTCCCCCTGGTAATTTCAAACTGCTGACCTTGATGTTAGCAGCCCGACTCATAAACCCTATGCTACCAGAATTCTTTACCTAGCGGAGGAGCGCACGTAAAGGATCTCACTGAGCAGATGTCTGGAGGTTCTTCTAGCCTAGTACTAGTGTAAAGGGAGCTGGAAGCTCTAGGCGCGTACTTTTTAAAACTACAGGCCTTCCAGTTAATTCACTGAGGGGCTCAGCCAGAGATGATCAGTCCAAGTGGAGAGTCCTTAAGGAATTCTCAGTCTCCGCTCCGCTAACAAAAGAATTTTGGACTGTCTGTTCAAAATTCCTCCGTTTTGCTCATCACATAAGCTTCCCATAGATGGAAAGTTGGGAAAAGAAAAGGAAGAATTTGGAGCATCAGAGGACCGACTCTAGCTGGGTTTTCCAGGAGTTTCCTCCTCTCGAAGCCTAGCCAGTACCCTTGGCGTTAATAATATCAAGCTGGGAGTGCCCAGCCCAGGTCTCCAGTGTCCACTTCGCGGGTTCTCCCAGGTGCAGGGCGCCGCGCGCTTCGGACCCATGTGGTTAGCCAATTTTGGAACCGTGCGCACAGTGTACGTGGCCGCTCCTGCGCTCCTGGAGCAGCTGCTGCGACAGGAAGGGTCCCAGCCAGAACGCTGCAGCTTCTCGCCCTGGACTGAGCACCGGCGCCGTCGACAGCGGGCTTGCGGACTGCTCACCGCGTGAGTCCTCTGCATCCCAAACCCAGAAACCCAGCTGCAGCCCTTACCTGAGGCTGATCCTGAGACAATCTGGGGCATGGAGGGAGGTCAGCTGTCTTGCCCAACCTCCTGGATTTTTGGGGTTCCCACCCTTGTTGCTTCACCCAAGTTCGGGTACAGCCCCACACTTGCCCCTTCCCCTACTCTTTTATCAATGAAACCAGAATACTAAGAACTGGAGGAACCAGTGGAAGGGTACCAGGGCGGAGATGAAGTGTAACATTCTGACTCAAGTGACCCAAGAACCCAGACCCCTCAGGGCAGGAAATGAGTAACTAGGACGGGAGCTGGGAAGGCAGGGTGCAGGCTGGGAGGGTTTCTGTACCCTAAGGGAGCAGGTATAACTACTTCCCTCCCCTGACCACCCTTCTCCAGGGCAGCGACCCAGTTGGGCCGCCTCCACACACCCCACCATCCCTGAGGCTCTCTCTCCACACCCCCACAGGGAAGGTGAAGAATGGCAGAGGCTACGCAGCCTTCTGGCTCCGCTCCTCCTTCGGCCTCAAGCGGCTGCCGGCTATGCTGAAACCCTGGACAACGTGGTCCATGACCTTGTGCAGCGACTTCGGCGCCAACGGGGACGGGGCACCGGGCCATCTACCCTGGTTCAGGACGTGGCGGGAGAGTTTTACAAGTTCGGACTAGAAAGTGAGTACCAGGCACAGGAGTAGGGGCGGGTGTTAGAGGCACCTGACCCGGGGCTGCCTGTGTCCTGACAGCGCCCCCTCCTGACCAGGCATAGCCGCGGTGCTGCTGGGTTCGCGCCTTGGCTGTCTGGAGGCTGAAGTGCCTCCGGACACGGAGACTTTCATCCGCGCTGTGGGCTCTGTGTTTGTGTCAACGCTACTAACCATGGCGATGCCAAACTGGCTGCACCACCTAGTGCCGGGACCTTGGGGCCGCCTCTGCCGAGACTGGGACCAGATGTTTGCATTTGGTAAGCCACAGAAACAAGGTGGGATTGGGGGCCAGAGGACTGTCCAGGAGTGGTGAGGCATCATTGTGCCTTCTCCCCACGTAGCCCAGCAGCACGTGGAGCGGCAAGAGGCTGAGGCGGCCATGAGAAACCAGGAAAAGCCTAAGGATGACACGGAACCAGGGGCACATCTGACCTACTTCCTGTTCCGAGAAAAACTGCCTGCTCAGTCCATCCTGGGAAATGTGACAGAGTTGCTACTGGCCGGAGTGGACACGGTGAGGGTCTTCTTCCAGACTGCGACCTCACTTCTAGAGATTAGCCTCCCCAGCCACAGGGGCCACCTTCTTGCTGCAGGGGGACCCGCTGTGGCCCTCTAGACAAACTTGATTTAGCACTTCCTTTGTCTCCTACATTGGAATCCCAACATCCAACACCTTTGACTCCTCACTTGTCCCCTCAGGTATCGAACACGCTTTCCTGGGCTCTGTATGAACTCTCTCGGCATCAGGATGTCCAGCAGGCACTCCACTCCGAGATCACAGCTGCCCTAGGCCCCAGTTCTGATGCTCACCCCACAGCTACTCTTTCCCAGCTGCCCCTGATGAAGGCTGTGATCAAAGAGGTGCTGAGGTGAGAGAAGAGGAAGAGCTAAAGAAAATACTGAGGAGGGCCTGGGAATGCAGAGAGTGGATAAAACAGGGGAGAGAGCAGAGGGAAATGGGACTCACTGCCAAAAATGGGTTTGAAAGTTGTGGGGAGATGAGAGGGAAGTTGCAGCCTCATTTTGCTGTCCCTCTCTCATGCTCTACAATCCAGGCTATATCCTGTGGTACCAGGAAATTCCCGTGTCCCGGACAAAGACATTTGTGTGGGGGACTACATTCTCCCCAAAAATGTGAGTAGAGTCTGGGAATCCCTTTTGCTGAGCCCATATATCCCTCACTAGCTTGGGCCTCACTCAGTTCTGTTCTAAAACTCCCCATCAGCCCTTCAAACACACCCCTTGGCCCAAATGCCTTTCTGTAAGATATAATGGGGCAGTGGAGAAATTACTCCAAAAGTAGCATCAGATTTTATCCCCACTCACTGACCAAGGCCTGCCTTTATCTTAACTAATATGTTCTCTCCCCACCTGCATGTCCTTCCCCATGTTCTAGGCCCAAACTGACAAGTTGTGTTCCTCTCCCACCAGACATTGGTCACTCTGTGTCACTACGCCACTTCTCGTGACCCTGCCCAGTTCCCGGAACCAAACACTTTTCGTCCAGTTCGCTGGTTGGGGGAGGGTCCAGCCCCCCACCCATTTGCATCTCTCCCCTTTGGTTTTGGCAAGCGCAGCTGCATTGGGAGACGCCTGGCAGAGCTCGAGCTGCAAATGGCCTTAGCCCAGGTGAGTGATCAGACTTTTCACCCTCCCTGGATGGTAGAGACCTGAACCTTTTAAAACTGTGAGCTCTTCTCCTCTCATGAGCAGAGAAAAACATAAAACTTGTGGACCTACTCCTCTGAAATATGGCAATCCCATTATTGGCCTGGAGAGTGAGCAAGGGGATTTGAACTACCTTTCTGTTATCATTCCTTAACCTCATTAAGGTACCACCTCAACACTGACCATACTAACTAATGTCAATTGAGCCCACAATTACAGGTGTCCTGGTGTGGCACTGTAGGTTAATGCACTGGATTGCAAAGTTGGGTTGAACAGCAAGGTGGCCGGTTCAAGCTCACCAGCTGCTCCTCAGAAACCCTATACAGAGTCACTCTGGGTTGGAACCGACTCAACAGCACAAAACAACAACTTATAGTGATAGCCCTCTTACCCCTTTCCAGATCTTGACCCACTTTGAGGTGCTGCCTGAGCCAGGTGCTGCCCCAATCAGACCAATGACTCGGACTGTCCTGGTACCGGAGAGGAACATCAACCTACAGTTTGTGGACAGATAACACTGTGGAAGCAGACTGTCATCATCACCCCTTCACTTAGCTCAGGGGCTTATTAGGAATAAGACCAAAAGCTGCGTCTTCTCCCTGAGGCCAGTCAGACCACACTGGTTAGAATGACCTTAGTAAAGTGCTTGAGGGGGCCCTGGCTAAGGTAGGAAGTATGCACTTGACCTGACCCAGCAAGCCCTTTGTGCTCAGTCCTGCTCCTAGCCGTATCATATGCAACCTTCAAGAACCAACTCAGATCTTAATAATGCTGGATGGCCTGAGAAAGGATTCAATCACTGCCCTTTTGGGGCTTCCACAATGTTCATGGATACTGCTGACAAAGCATTTATCATAGCATGAGCTAAGTAATTGTGCATCTGGTCTGCTCCTGGTTGGTCCACCCACTTTGCATGTGAGCTCTTTCATGAGATTAGACCTTATTTGGTCTTTATAACCCCTGCCAGGGCCTGACTCTAACCAGGCCACACCATACACATTGTCAGATTGACTCTGGACCATGTGGCAGAAGGGTTAAGCAGCTTTCCAGGCTCTGTCTCCTGCTCTCCTTCATCATCTTCCCATAGGAAGGTGGGTCTGCCCTAGCAAGGCTTTATGATTTTTTAAAGCTTTTCTTGGCTGTCTGGTCACTTTTATGTAGGTTTGTCCTGACAGTCCCCAGGCAGAGGCATCACAGGATCTGTCCCTACCAAGGCCTCTACCTTCCTTTTTATATTGATACTGAAAAATATTCATAGTTTTGAAATTTAAAAAAAAATCAAATGTTCCACCCTTGGCTTTTGACTCACCATTCTCCCACACCCACTTTTTAGAAGACCTCCTTCCCCACCTTGATTTCTCAGCTCCTCTGGGAGTGACCCCTATTAATGGTGGGAGGTCTGGACACCTGGGAGAGTGCTGTGCATCACAATCCTGACATGTTTCCATCTGTAGAAAGAACAGCCAAGTCTGGCTACCAGTAAGAAATTCAGGGGGTGGTGGTGAAAAGTAACTGCAGTGGTTAGGCTGTAGAAATGGGCAGGGAGCTGGGAAGTTGCGGAGATGGGCAGGGGTGGCTGGTTCTTTGGTAGGGGAAGTACTTTTGGAACCTGGGCTGTCAGATCAAAGGACATCCTAGGATGTCCCTCTCTGGGAAAGTTGTTCTAAGATAATTCCCTTCTGATACAAGCAGAGAAGTAGAGTCAGACAGGATGAAAGCTGAGTGTGGGGGCAGCCAGCAGCCCTGGGGCACTGAGGCAGGAGAAGGAGGGTGGGCAGAGAGTGCCTCTGTTCCCCTGAGTTAGCATTTTCTGGCCCCCCAGAGGCTGGGCACTGTTCTCCCCTTGTGATGTATACAGATTAACTCATCTTCGACCCAAATAAATCTCTCAACATGCTCCCCAAAGCTGTTTCCCAGATTACCCTCTCCATGTCAAGACTTGCCCCCTTCCTTCTGCAGCTCCCCACAGACCCCCATTACAATTAGCTGGGTATAGATGGAGATTTGATTTCATACTCCCTCCTCCTTCCTATCCTCTCAGTTCCTTGCTCCAGTCATGGCTCCCTGATCATAGAAACTGCATTAGCCATCCAGGCTTTCTGTGGGTATATATTTATACAAGAGCTACCGAGAGGCCGGGCAGACACAAAGCCTGGTGCCGAGGCCAAGGTTGGCACACATTCACTCTTCTCAGCTCCTTCTGTACCCAGTGCTCAAGTCTTCACCACAATTCCTCTACCACTACATTCAACTTGAATTTAAGTGACCAAATTTTCGGCAGATCTGAGTGTTGAGGGAGATTAAAAGCTCAAACTTTTTTCAGACCCTTGTCCCTGAAAGCAGTAATGAGGACTCTGCCCACCCACACTCCCCATTGGGGCAAATAAGATCACTAACTCAAGGGCAGCAGTTTCCATGACCCCTTTTCCCAGGTAAGAAAAACGGATACATAGCAACTACTATAGGACAGAGTAGAAGAGTCCGTAAGTGTTCCAAGACTGTATGCATGCTAGCTGCCTCGTCTTTCTCTCAGAGCGTGGCAAGTGGGTTCCAACAACCAACTTTTCAGTCAGTAGCCTAATGCTTGACCCACTGTACCATTAGGGGATATCGTCAAGGATAAGAATATCTTCAAATTAGAAAAAGGAGAGGGAACTTTACTGCCCCAACTCTCATACAAGACTTCCACTGGTGCTGTACTATCTCACAACAGAAGCAGTGTTTGTGCCAGTGGGCTCTTTGGTACATCTAAGCTGCTGTGTGGGGCATCACTAAGGGACAGCCCAGGCTTGGCACAGAAATCCTCACTAGTACAAAGGGGCTTCAAAAAGTTTATGGAAGAATTCTATTATCTTTTCATTCCATTTCCTAGAAAAATTTTGAAGCCCCCCTCATATATGTATCTATCTGAACCTCATACTGCTGGTGTGGTGGTGGTGGTAATGTGCCGTGAAGTCAGTTCTGATTCATAGGGACCCTGCATAGGGTTTCTGAGGCTGCAAATCTTTACGGGAGCAGAAAGCCTCATCTTTCTCCCGCGGTAGAGCTGGTAGTTTCGAACTGCTGACCTTGAGGTTTGCAGCCCGACTTGTAACCACTACGCTACCAGAGTTCCTTATCAGCTTATATAGAGATTAGTTATCACTCTGATTTTCTATCTCCCTTCTGATCCGTACCAGCAGTACTCCTGTGAGTAGCAAATCAGTAAATCTCCCCTGATGGAGAATTACAGTTATCTCCTAGGGGAACATTGGAAAGATGGAAGGCTCAGCTTCGGTTCCCTCTTCATTCTGATCCTTTCATAGACTGGAAATGGATACACTTCCATATTTCCAGGTAACCTGTGGCACCTAGTCCAGTTTGGGTTCCTACATGCCCCAGGCAAGTCTGTGGTTAGCACCATGGACAGCAGCCAAGGCCCTGTCTTTTTTTTTTTAAGAGAATCGTGTTATGTGCCAGTTTAGTGGGTTCCGACTCATAGCAACCCTGTCTAAGGTTTCCAAGAAGCTGCTGGTGGACTTGAAATTCCGACCTGTGGTTTTCAGTCCAGTGCTGATCCTATAGCACTACACTAGGAGTGAAGGGTGCGGGGGTGGGTGTGGGTGGGTGTGGGTGGGTGTCACAATTTCCTGGAAGTTATGTCCTGGAGCACCAGGACAGCCTTCCTGGCCCCCAGTGGGGGAAAGCATGACCATGAAGCTAAGGGAAATGGGCAAGGATGTTAAGTGTATGAGGCTGAGGAAGATAGTGAGCATGTAAAGGGAAGAGAGGTGCCCGCACATATGCAGACAACATCCATGAAGCCATACATGCCATAGATCTGAAAGAGCAGATCCTGCCGCTGCCACTTGGACTGGTGGGCACTATAAGATAAGCACTGGACTGCTGATCACAGGTCATCAGTTCAAACCCACCAGTCACTCCTAGGAAGCCCTATGCAGGGTGACTATGAGTCAGAACTAACTTGATGGCACTTGACAACATGTGGGACCCTTTTTTGAGAAACATGGAGCACTGATGGTAGAATTCGCCCCTTTCATGCAGAAGCCTCAGGTTCGATGCCCAGCTAGTACACCTCATGCACAGCCACCACCCATCTGCCACCCATGTTGCTATGATGCTGAACAGCTTTCAGCAGAGCTTCCAGACTAAGATAGTCAGAAAACCTTGGCAATCTACTTCTGAAAAAGAACCAATGACAACTCTCTGGACCACTACGGTCTGATCTGCAACTGATCACAGGGATGGCACAGGACCAGGCAGTGTTATATTCTGTTGTATAGGAACACCAGGAGTCAGAAGCTACCTCCATGTCAGATAAAAACAACAGAGAAGCAATTGTCTCTCAAACACCCATAGGAAGGAGGCAGGGCAAAAACTTCCCTGAGAGAAGATTCAATAATAGGAAAGGCTTCTAGATCTGACTTTAGCAATGTCTGAAATAATTATTTTAGTTACTGATGAATAATTCACTTAAAAGACCGTAATTCATATAACACACATCCGCAATGCCTCAGGAGGAATGGACTAGCCTTCAGGCTGACCCATAGTTCTCTGAGTCTTTCCCAAATCTTTTCTTTATAGGCAAGAGCTCTCTACAATACTACCTCCAAACACAATACATTTCAGTTAATACCAATAGCCAGGGCATGTCAGGATTAGGCTTGTAACTCTGAGCTTCCATGGAGTAGAAGACTCCAAACATTAGGAACACCTATCTCACTATGAATGGACTGAATTCATTTCTTACCATGTGTCTGGAGTGAGCACAGCACCTAGGAAGAACCCCAAGCAAGAAAAATGGCTCCAGCCTTCCTTTACCTGCTAGGCCCCAGTGTTTGTTGTTGTTGTTAAGTACCGTGGTGTCAGTTCCAACTCATAGTGACCCTGTACAGGGTTTCCAAGGCTGTAAATCTTTATGGAAGCAGAACACATCCTCTTTCTCCCACAAAACCACTGGTAGTTTCAAACTGCTAACCTTGCAGTTGACAGCCCGACTCGTAACCACTACGTTACCAGAGCTCCGTAGGCCCCAATATTTAGGGGGACATCATTCTTTCAAATAATCACCATCCTTCACCATTATAATGTCCATTTCCCCTCATATTTCCCTACCTACATCTCTGGTAGCATAGTGGTTATGAATCAGGCTGCAAACCTTAAGGTCAGCGGTTCGAAACTACCAGCTGCTCCGCAGGAGAAAGATGAGGCTTTCTACTCCCGTAAAGATTTACACCCTCGGAAACCCTGTACAGGGTCGCTATGGGTTGGAACCGACTAAACGGCACTTAACAACAACAACTTAACATGATGTCACTCCACAAAATTCCAAGGCTCTGTGTAACTCCAAATGAAAAAAAAACACATTTTGGGATTTGTTATACCAGCTACTACTTGAAATAAATGGATCATCAACTAGTCTAGAAATCGTTTTATAACGTTATCGGTTTTCTTTGCAATGGCATTTGACCTGTCCCTTGTTTATCCTCATTCCAACTCTTAAGAGGTAGACAGGAAAATCACAGCTGAGAGATTTTTTTTCTAAATCACACAACTTGCAGGTGGCAGTCCACCCCTTAGATACCTCTAAGCACTGCCACCTAGCAGCCAACGTGAATTATTCACCAGCAAGTGGGAGTTACACCTCCAACTCAGAACCTAGCACTGCATTGGAGATTGGCAACCTGTGCTGAGAAGCCTCCCCACACCTTCCAGCCCTCGAGAAAAGCCCCAGATGAGAAAGGAGTCTCCACATGCATATAAATGATTCTTTATGCCCTCCCCCCATGCAATGGGGGGAGAAGCAGGGGGAAGTCCCCCTGCCCTCATGCAGGGAACGGAAGGTCAATGTATACTAGTCTTATTGCCAGATGCCCTGTGGCCATGGGGTAGGGAGTGGGGGATCTACAGCCCCTTTCTTCTGGCATTGGTCCCCCTTCAAGTCACTGCAGTAGAGCTGGGAGCCTGGAGGCCCTAGGAGCTGAGGTAAGGACGGTTCTCTCCAGGAAGAAAAGCTGCTTTCCCCATCTGCCCACTGGCTGTCCCAGGATAAGTGTGAGGAGCGGTCAGTGAGGACTGGATGTCATCCAGGTGTCTTGACACCATAGGCAGTAGAGGACAGAGAGATCCTCAGTGGTGGGAGCAGTACGTGTGCTCCAGACGCCTCCAGCCAGGAGTGTGGTCAGCAGCCATGAGAGCTCATCTCTGGCCAATGCATCAACTCAAGATCCCTGTGCCTGACATCCACTTCAGACCGTGGTGACCCTCATGACAACCTCACGGCCAGAATGGGAGCTGGAACGGGCATCTGGTGGCCGCAGCTGTCCAAGAAGGTGCAGGATTGTGTAACCACAGCGCTGAGGCAAGAGCGTCCGCATGCGCTGGGCAGCTGGGGGGCGGCTGGTGGTCCCAGAAGGGGGGCCCGTCCTTGAGGTCCTGGGGCCTGGCTTCCCTGCCGTCCCTCCCCCTGCATCTCCTCCTATGTCCTTAGTCTTGTCATAATTCAGAACCTTCCACTGCTGGTTCACTGCCTGCCAGCGCTTGAAGATGCGGTAGACTGAGGAACCTTCATGGACGATGAGGCCTGAGCAAGAGGAAAAAGAAACCCAAGGGTCAACTGCTGTCTAGATCCAAGGTTCTTAAGGAAGCATTTCCCCAGCATGAGAACACAGGGAAGGGAGAGCACCAAGACAGACTTCCTGGCCCCCAGTAGGGGAAAGCATGACCATGAAGCTAAGGGAAATGGGCAAGGATGGTAAGTGTATGAGGCTGAGGAAGACACTGAGCATGTAAAGGGAAGAGAGGTGCCCTCACCTATGCAGACGACATCCATGAAGCCGTACATGCCATAGCAGATCTGAAAGAGCAGATCCTGCCGCTGCCACTTGGCTGAAGGGCTGAGTGAGGACCAGATGAGCCAGGAGATGCTGGCGACAAGGAAGAGAGAACCCAGAACTATGGCAGCAATCTGGACCTTCTCAATCACCGTCAGAGAGATGGCCTGCCACTGTGAGGGAGAAAAGGTTCCAGAAAGTAATAAAAGGGATGGAGGGCCAGTCAGTGAGCGGACTTGAAGAGGAGGATACTCCAGGAGCCTTCCCAAAGCCCTTCAAGCAGAATCACCATCTGTTTTTCCTGCGTCTTAATCAAACCTAGAATGTGGCTCTTCTCACATTGTTTGAGACTATTTGTCTGTCTTAATTTAGAAAGGTGAGTGCTCTGAAGTAGAATATCTAGGTTTGAATCACAAATCCTAACTCCATTACTTACTACCTGAGTAACCTTGGGCAAGTTTTCTATTCTCTTTGTGTTACAATGTTCTCATCTGTAAAATGGGGATATTAATGGTACCTATTTCATAAGATTGTTGTGAAGATTAAAAGAGAATTATGAGGTCTCAAAGAGTTAACACACTCCAAGAAGTTGGTACATATAAAACACTATATTTTTGCTATCATCATCATCAACATTATCATCTTTTCCTTTTACCTCTCAGTGCCTGAAACATTGTCTGGGACACAGCTGGTACCCAATAAATGTCTTTGTAAATAAATGAAGTAAAAGGCTTGCAGACAATAGACGATCCTTAACAGCATGGAAAAGAAAGAAGCTTCCTAGAGGACCCCTGATTATACTGTCAGTAGGACCCTTGCCCCCAGTTATTCTCCTTGCCCCTCACCTGCAGTGGGTTCTTGGTGCTGATCGCCAAGACCTGGTACTTGAAGTAGCAGAGCTCACAGCTCCAGGAGCCTCTCTCGCTGATCCAGCGGATGAGGCAGGGCTGATGTGTGCAGCGCACAGAGCCATCGCAGCGGCAGGGGCTCAGGAGCTCCCCCTAGAGGAAGAGCGGAAGGGGCTTTATCAGCCATCACCACCCTGATCTCACTCAGCTGTGCTCCCAGAGAGGTGAAACTTCCCTTCAGGTCAGTCTTACTCCCACCTTAAAAATCTCAGTTATTTTTACCCAAAATAGGGGAAGAGGCTAAGGCTACAACTAAAAAGAAAAGTTAGAGCTCAAGAGAAACTTCTCCAGAGCATAAAGATGGGGGATGGAAAGAGATGGGGGAAGATTTGGGGAAGGTAGTCTTTAAGTGTTCCCAAAGGAGGTAGGAGAGAGTCAGAGCTTCTGAAGCATGCCTTGCTTCAGCAATTCCCATCACTGTAAATTATATCAAAGATCTGGTGCAGACTGGGGTGGGTTACGGTTCTCTGTTTCCAAGGATCAAAAAGGGGAGAAATTCTGGGGGTAGATGTGGAGGATGTTTCACTTTAATAAAGGAATGCTCTCTCACTAAATAGCACTATCCGGAGGCAACTTTGTCCATAAAATTTAAACAAAAGATAATCTGTGGAATGAGATTAGAAAGTTGCAACCTCGGAAGTACCGTACCCCACAGGGAGAAATACTAAATGAAGCAAGGGTGCTGGGTGGGACCCTCTCGCTTCCCCTACCTCCAACGTAAGAACACAAGCTCTCTCCTTTTCACTGGTCAACCTCAAGAAAACAGTCCCCTCAGTCTCCTAAGACCCTGTGGTGAAGGGAGTGAAGGGCTCTCCCCACTAGCAGGTGAATGGATTTTTGAGGCCTCTCGTGAGAAAGCCCCACCTCTTCTTGCAGACCCCTGCACCCCACCCACCCCAAATAGGCGCTCTGGGAGTCTCCAGACACCCCCCTACCCCCCATCCCACACTCCATTCCTACTTGGTGTCCTGGGTCCCGCCCAGCCTCCTCAGGCCCCGCCCACTGTTAGCGGTCTCCCTAGGCGGCTCAGGTGCGCACCCCCACCCCTCCCTGCCCAGCCGGGTGCCCAGGCCTGACCTGCTCAGGGCCCTGGAAGCAGATCCTGCACTGGGGGGTTCGGAGCCCGCTGTCTAGGCTGCTGCTGAGCGATAGGGCGTCCAGCGCGCCCGGGGGCGGGGGCGGGGGCGCGGGCGGTGGCAGTGGCCCGGCCCGCGGCTCCTTGTCCCCGGCCAGGCCCCGGGCCCGCGGTTCCGACCCATAGTACTCCTCTTCGTCGCCGTCGCCGTCCCGGGTCGAGCAGCCGGTGAAGGGCGCCCAGCCGCAGCCGCCTCCCTCGTCCCCCCGGGGCTGCGGCTCGGCCCGGGGCCGCCCCCCGCCCGTCAGCACCAGCAGCTTCAGCTCGTTCAGGAACATGCGGAGCCGAGACTTGAGCATCGTCCGGGCGCCGGGGGGCTGGGGGGACGGGGAGCGGCGTGCAAGGGGGGAGCGCTCGAGCGGCAGGGGGGAGGGGGAGGAAAAGACAAGGCCGGGAAGGGGGCGCGCGCTGGAGAGCCGAGCCGGGCGGGGGACTTAGGGGCCTGCAAGTGCCGTTCACTGCTGCCGCCGCCGGGGCTCCAGGGCTAGCAGGGCCGAGTAGGCTGGCGGCCCGGGGGCGGCGGGGCAGTCGGCCATGGCTAGGGCAGGGGGCGGGGAGAGGGTCTCAGGGTGCGGCGCCCCGCGGGTCCGGGTCCGGAGCGGGCCGGGCGCCCGGGGTTATGCGCCCGGGTCCTCCTGCGGCTGGGCCGCCCCCCATCGCCGTCCTCCCGGCCCCGGTCCCGCTCCGGCTCCGGGATCCCGCTCAGTTCGGTCCGTGCGCTCGGCGGCGGCAAATGGCGGCTCCTTCCGGCGGCGGCGGCGGCGGAGACCCCCCCGGAGCGGCGGGCGGGCGGGGCGGGAGCCGGGGAGCCGGTGAGGGATGGAGGGAGGGGCGGGGCGGGGAGGGGGAGCGGAGTAGGGGCCGCGGCTGCGCATCCCCGCCCTGCCCCGCACGAGCAGGTGTCCCCCGGGGCGGGGGCGAGTTAGTGAGTCGATGGGAGGGTTTAGAGAGGGGAGTGGCCACGGAACGGGAATGTGCTTCGGGTGGGAGAATAGGTGTGTGTATGAAAGTGAGGAGGGGCCTGCGGGTGAGAATGGAAGGAGAGTGAAGAAAGGATGCAGGTGCACCTGGGAGGGAGAGGCTGTTTTGCAAAAGGGAACTGTGTAAAGAAAGCTGTGCAAGAGTCCAAGAAGAATGTGAAAGCCAAGGGAATGTGTGAGGGGAGTGAGGGAGCATGTGATGCATTTGAGCAATAAGCGCTTTTAAACAAAAGACCGTGTGTATGATTTGTGCATGATGTGGGGCTGTGGAAAGAAGATGAGTGTGTGAGAAACGGAATCGGACTGTACAAGAAACAGAAAGGTGTGATTGTAATGTACTAAAGGAATTGGAGTGTCTTTCCTAGTACTCTGCCCTCGACACCACTGCACTGAAGTGAACATGTCACTCACATGACACGATTAACCTTTACTTTTAAGGAAGCCTTGACCCTGAGAACCAATTCTGCCCCCTCATCACCTTATCTCTGCCCCACACTTATATCCTTTCTCTCCTTCCCTTTTCAAAGAGCAGGCAGGGTAAAGGGAATCCGGGGAGCCCATAGTGTCCAACACAGACAAAATTAATTAGTAGAAGAATAATTAACGGGTGACGGGATGGGATGGAGCCAAACAAAGGATCTTCAATAAAAGGTATAGAGGAGAGACAGTAAGAAGCATTCCATTGTTTTGGGTGATGGGTGGATGAGTGAATTAGGAAAAGGAGCTGTGTGTGACCCAATCAGATGTAGAGTGTGGCTTCTGTTCTAAAGACAGCTGTGGTGACTTCTGTACAAGATGAAGCCCAAGTGGAGACTGCTGGTAGACAGAATCTGACAAACTCAGAGACACTGATGAAGATCAAAGACCATAGCCTTCTGTATGGGTATGAATTGCATCTCAATGTAAAGAAAACAAAAATCCTCACCACTGTACCAATAAACAACATTCTTATCAATGCAGAAAAGATTGAAGTTGTCAAAGACTTCATTTTTCTTGAATCAACTATCAACTAATGGAAGCAGCAGCCAAGAAATCAAATGACATATTTCGTTAGGCACATCTGCTGCACAAGACCTCTTTAAAGTGTTGAAGAGCAAAGATGTCAGCTTGAGGAGAATACTGAAAGTACCATGAGCTGCCAAAAGAACAAACAGATGTATGTTGGAAGAAGTACAGCCAAAGTGCTCCTTGGAGGCCAGGATGGCCAGACTTCCGTTTCTCATACTTTGGACATGTTGTTAGAAGGGACCAGTCACTGGAGAAGGTATCATGTTTGGTAAGGTGGAAGGTCAGAGAAAAAGAGGAAGACCCCCAGCAAGATGGATTGGCAAGTGGCAGCATCAATGGGTTCAAGTGTGGCAACGATTATGAGGTTGGCCCAGGACCAACCAGGCAGTGTTTTGTTCTGTTGTGCATAGGGTTGCTATGAGTCGGTACTGACTCACTGGCACCTAACAACGACAACATAGACACTTATCTTATCCTGACAGAAGGGTTACAAACCAACCAGCCCTGCCAAGGTAGTCAATGAAACATTCATCTCACAAGCTCCTTATCCACAAGGAGCTTCTCACTAGAGTCCCAGTTGCCCTTGTCAGCAAAGGCCCAGAGCTACAAGTATGAGAAAGGAAGGGGGGTGAGGGTGGGAATCTGTACTGTCAGTCTTCTATTTTGCCCCAAAGCAAGGTTTATATTCATTTTCAAGCCTGAACTCTTACCTCCACAGCCAGATGGTTAAAGAGGATAGGAGTTAGGATAGGAGGACTGACCAAAGGGTAATAAAAAGGTTTTAGAGAGTTTCTCAGAAAAGAGACACTAGATTACTTCCCTTCCCCACCCCATCCCCCTAAAGGGCTAGGAGATAAAGAAGTTGGCTTAAGGTAAAGGAATCCAGAGAAACCTACTTGTTTATCTAGATGTCTGAGCAGAGGCAAAGGGGTAAGAAAACTGCACTGTGGGCAAAGAGGGAAGCACAATGACCCCAAATGAGTCAGCAGGTTTTCAGGACTCAAATCATCCTCATGGTGACCTGAGTGAGGTTGGGGGTGGTTACTTCCTTGCACATGCTTAATCCTATACCTGTAGATATCACACACACACACATCATAGAATCTTAGAGCTGAAAATAACTTTTTTTTGGCATGGAATCTTTTTAAGTTGTGAATTGAGTGATAGTTTACATGGGAGAACATCGGTTTTACAAGATGGTTTCATTGCAATGATTACAATCTCCTCTGTTCATCATCATTCAACGGTATTTGCTTCTATTCCCTGTTTTTTGGGAGGGGGATGTACACAAAAACACTCAGGAATAGACAATAAACAACCAAAGGGCATATTTTGCAAGCCTGCCTCCTGGCCTCCAGCACTCAGTCTTTTCTCTTCCATGAATCTAGTTTCCCCAGCTCTATATCCTCATCTCTGCCTCCATCTCAGGTGTTACTGCGAGCTGAAAAGAACTTTATAAGTCAAGTATTCCTGTTTCGCCATCAATAACTCTTGGGGGGAGGCAGAGGGGGAATTATCCTGCCTTTTTTTGGAAGCTAGTCTTCCTGTTGGATTGCTGTCTTAGCAAAAAATTATTGAATGAACGAAACAAAGACACGAATAAGAATATTTTTCCGATGGGGATGGAGCAGAAAGGCGACAGCACCACCTCTTGTTTCCCGATCCTCTGCTAATAAGGATAAACTAAGTGGCACGTAGTGAGACATAAGGTGCACTTGGGGTAGGTTTTCACCCCAAAGTAGGGATCTGGGTGGCCCAAGTTACCATGGCACCGCTTTGGGTTCCACCCTCTCTCGGCCTCCCTCTTCCCAGCTGGGGTTAAGGCAACCAGTCACGTGCCTCGTAGTGTAACCACACCTCTGCTCCTCAGTGCAATGTCGAGCGGTCACGTGTGATAGCAACAGACCACGTGGCTGCCGTAGTCCTTACGCCCCTTTCCCCTGACCGCTCCCTGCCTCTCTTGGCCGCTCTTCTGCGCATGGGCGGATGGTTACGTGCCCTTAACGTCCGGCGTTCGCCCCGCCCACCCAGTTTCCGCGCGCCTCTTTGGCAGCTGGTCACATGGTGAGGGTGGGGGTAAAGGAACCGCTCTAGCTTGCGTCCAGTGTCTATGGTCAGGCTCTTCGTGTCCAGCTGCTTGGGACAGAGCTCGCGTGTATGGCGCCTCAGGACCTGGCTCCAGGACTTCGATAACGGGCCGCCTCATTAGCTCCTGGTCTGGGGTGAGGTAAGTGCAGTCCCTTCCCAAGAGTCCCCGCCCCCCCCACGATTCCCCACGCGTGCATTTCGCGGGTTTGGAAGGGTCGTTCCAGGAGCGTGGTGTTGAGGTAAGATCCTTCGTGGTCGTGGGGAAGTGTAATTTTATGGACTAGACTAGGTCTTTGGTGCAGGAGGTGTGTCGTGTGTGCTTTCCCTTGTGCGGGTGCGATGGATCTAAAGGCTTTTTAATTCTAGACCTCACGTGGCTGGAGGAATTGGTCATTGTTAGCTGAGAAGCCAGCCCTTGGGAGGTTGGGGAGGGGATGGAATACTGCCCTTGTCTCTTTGATGCCTTTTGTGAGAGTCACTTCGTTGCTGCAGACTTAATTCTGGAAGGGAGTTTTGGTGATAGGAGTCTCTATTTGATTGCAGGGTCTTCCCTGATCTAAGAATGGCCACTCCTCGATATGAGCCAGTAGCTGAGATTGGCGTAGGTGCCTATGGGACGGTGTACAAAGCTCGCGATCCCCACAGTGGCCACTTTGTAGCCCTCAAGAGTGTGAGAGTCCCCAATGGAGAAGGCACTGGAGGGGGCCTTCCCATCAGCACAGTTCGTGAGGTGGCCTTACTTAGGCGGCTGGAGGCTTTTGAGCATCCCAATGTTGTCCGGTGAGAAGACTGTGGAGGGTTGGGAGTGGGTGATACAAGGGAAAAAACAGCCTGTAGGTGGGGAGCGGTGGTCAGGAGAAAAATGGGGACTCTGAGGAAACTTGGGAGGTCGTGTTGGGTTAAAGGGGACTGACCAGTGAGTGACCATTTGTCCTGGCCAGACTGATGGACGTCTGTGCCACAGCCCGAACTGACCGGGAAACCAAAGTGACCCTGGTGTTTGAACATGTGGACCAAGACCTACGGACCTATCTAGACAAAGCACCCCTACCAGGTTTGCCAGTGGAGACTATCAAGGTGAGTGGAGTGGACACAGATGCAGATGAAGATTGGGGCCTTTGTAGTGGAACCTTGTTGGGGTTTTCAAGTATGGTGCCGAGTTTCCAGTGCCTCTGTACCTCCAGGATCTAATGCGCCAGTTTCTAAGAGGCCTTGATTTCCTGCATGCCAATTGCATCGTTCACCGAGACCTGAAGCCAGAGAACATTCTGGTGACAAGTGGTGGGACAGTCAAGCTGGCTGACTTTGGCCTGGCCAGAATCTACAGCTACCAGATGGCACTTACACCTGTGGTCAGTATAAAGATGGTAGTCAAAATGGGATCTGGTTGGTGTAGGGGAGTGATTGCTCCTAACAATAGAGAAGTCAATCATTCTATGTTTTATGGTAACTTTTATGGCCCTCATTGGTTCTTCCTATTTCCTTTAGGTTGTTACACTCTGGTACAGAGCTCCTGAAGTTCTTCTGCAATCTACATATGCAACCCCTGTGGACATGTGGAGCGTTGGTTGCATTTTTGCAGAGATGTTTCGTCGAAAGTAAGGGAACCTAGTTTCTTGAGTCATCTTGAGTTCCCCAGATCTTTTATTCATAAACCATCATCACTTAGTTCCACTGACCCTCCATTTGTATAACCACAAGCTCTGAAAAGTCCTGGATTTTGGAATGAAATGTCCCTTTATTTGCCATACTCTTATTTTGAATTGCTAAGCACTCTGGTAGCCTAGTAGTTATGAATTGGGCTATTAACCTCAAGGTTGGCAGTTCGAAACTACCAGCGGTTCCGCGGGAGAAAGATGAGGCGTTCTGCTCCCGTAAAGATTTACAGCCTCGGAAACCCTGTGCAGGGTAACTATGAGTTGGAACCGACTCCATGGTACTTAACAACAACAATCATTCCACTTTGGAGTCCTGGTGTGGCACTGTGGATTAATGCGCTGGACTGTAAAGTCGATTTGAACTGCAAGTTCGGCAGTTCAAGCTCACCAGCCGCTCCCTGAAAACCCTATATTGGGTTGCTGTATATCGGAACCGACTCTATGACACTTAACAACAATCATTCCACTACCAATACCAATTTCTATGAAAATGATTGCTACTTTGTTCTCTTTTCACCTTAGGCCACTCTTCTGTGGAAATTCAGAAGCTGACCAGTTAGGCAAAATTTTTGAGTAAGTAACCTGTAAGATGGAAAAGAATTTTCATTTCTGAGTCTTCTCTTTATTCTAAGTACTAGATATCTACTGGCTCTACCCCTGGGGAATGGAGGCTGGAGATGGACTCTTCTGATGAGAGTTCTCCTGTTCCCCATAGCCTGATCGGGCTGCCCCCAGAGGATGACTGGCCCCGAGATGTGTCCCTACCACGAGGAGCCTTTTCCCCCAGAGGGCCCCGCCCAGTGCAGTCTGTGGTACCTGAGCTGGAGGAATCTGGAGCACAGCTGCTGCTGGTACTGAGCAAGGGTCGGGGCAAGGTTGGGGTGAGAAATGGAGCCATACAGGAGAAACACAAACCATTGTAGTCACTGACACTTAGTTGCTGGATGGGCTGCAGTTTTCCTTGCTACTGTGAATGGCCACCTACCGGACAGAGATGTAGAAAATAGGCCATATCCCTTGTTGGGGGTAGGGAAAATCCTAGGTTTCCTGACCTTTGCCTTCCTCCTTAGGAAATGCTGACTTTTAACCCACACAAGCGAATCTCTGCCTTCCGGGCCCTGCAGCACTCTTATCTACAAAAAGGAGATGGAAATCCGGAGTGAGCAGTGGAGTAGCTGAAACAAGACCCGGAGGAGGAAGAGAAGCTGTACTTTCCTTTCCTTTGGACACTTAAGTGGAGAAACCCCCTGCCCACTAATCAGGCAATCTCTACTTTAGCCTCTGCCTTCATTTCCAAGGCCTTGGATACCCCTCCCCAACTTTTTACAGAGAATATTTTACGGCCTTAAAGATCTCCCTCTCCCACCCCTCTTTTTGAGGCATATTCTTCTCCTGTCCCCTATTTCCATACACCAAGGGTTGTGTCCTGTCTTACCCTCATCTCTATCCTTGATAATTGGATTCCCTTTTTTTATACAGGAAAAAGAAAAAAAAACAAAACAAAGAAACATGGTCTTTTTTTAATGGTTCTTTCTTTGACTGGCATTGCCATTGGGGAATTTGGAAAACCCACTTGGAAGAAGGAACTTCCTTACAGAGTCTTGAAGACTTTCCTTAAGTCACAGGGCCCAGGCAGAGAAGAAAGGAACATGTTGCTTCTTAGAATGTGGGGTATATGATAGATTTCTTGGTTGTTTTCTCTGGCTCTGTCCCTGACTTTCACTTGGAATCAGGCCAGAATACACTGAGGTGGTCCAGCATGTAGAAGGGTAAGAGGGGAAACAAAGCCAGGAATGACTCCAAACCCCATCTCAGGCACGCCTAGGCATTTCTTGCATCCACTTAGGGAGAGGTGAAGATTTTCTTTCTTTTCCCTATAATCTTGCTCCAACAAAAACATGTCAAGGTTTAAAGCTTAACTTGTTCAGTCAGCTTTAAGGGATGTTGCACAGGGTCTTTTCCTTTTTCTCAAACAAAAAGGGCTATAGACCCTAGGTTTTCCCTAAGGGAAAAAGAGGTTAGGGAAAGGAGAAGAGAAGTCAAAGGATCCAAAGTCTCATAGAAAGGCACTAGGGTTGGCTCGAGGATCCTTCAGATTGCGAAATCTCATTGCTAACCAAATACCAAGGATCTGCAGAAACAAGGAGAGCGATAAGCATCAGTTCTGAATCTCTTAGGATAAGACATGTTGAGAAAATGTATACATGAGAGAACTGAAGAATAGAATATTACCTCTGTAAAACTGAAGAAGAGTCCAACACCCCCCAGAATTTTTAGGGCTTCATCTGAATGGTTAAGAATCTTTTCTCCACACACCTGGCATGGAGGGTTTCGGTTCTTGCAAATCTGAGGATAAAACAAACGAGTTTGGAGAATGCAAAATTCCTAAGCTGTCCTATCCCAATACCTATGGTGAATGTCTAAAACATATTTACTAGTACCTGACCAGTATTCTGTAGACTACAATTCCACTGGTCCTGTCTACCACCTCTCAACACATAGCCCCAATACAAGACACCTGCTAGAGGAAGACGTAATGACATCCCAGCCCTTATATCTGCCTATTTGGACATTATCCTTTTTCCTCTCTCTCCCCCCCTCCCCAGACTCACTGCATAGCATGAAGTAGAATCTTGTTGATTCTGGTACGTGAGGTTGAACAAGCCACAACAATCAAGACTTCTTTCCAGTTCATTCCGGGTTGTGTTGCTCATGACCCACCAAGAAGCATTAATGACATCTGTCTTCAGGATGCAGGCAAAGGGAATGATTACTTGATGATAAACATTAAGTAGTACCCTACATCCTGAACCCAGTTACAGTGCTCAATTTCCCTTTTCAGCACAGAGAGTCACCATCCCTCATCCCTCACTCAGAAACAAGAATGTGTGTGGTCATACAGACATGATGAATACCCATTTCAGGTTCTAAATCAGTAGGAAAAATTAACCAGATAATGTAAAGACTTAAGAGTCTGAAAGTAATGAACCTAAAAAATGATTGTTGTGTACTTGGAGGTTTGGATTCCAAAAAAAAAAAAGCACTTAAAAAGACAATTCCCTTACCTGTTTGCTTCTGTTAATAGCCAAACAGGAGCAAGAGATTCCAAACTGGAAGATGAAGACCAAACCAAGGATGATTATATACTGAGGAGAGTTATGGAAAACACCAGTCCTGTTATTGTTAAATGTCATTGAATCAGTTCTGACTCAGCAATCCTGTTTAGGGTTTCCAGGGAATGTCTGGTGGGTTTGAACCACAGACCTTGCAACTAGCAGTCCAGTGCTTGTATTGGACTGCTAGCACCATACCAGAACTCCGTGTGGGCTTATCCTTAGAACTACAACTCTTGTCAGCTGAAAGCAAAATCATCAGCTCTTTGGATTGTGTAGTATATGGCAAGGTAAGACTTATCCCTGAGGTCCTATTAACAATCTCGAACTTTTTCTTAGACTACTTGGTTCCCCCATCACTTCAGGTGGGAATACAAAGGATACAAAGAAGAGCAGAACTTGGTGGTGGTAGACAGCACCCACCAGTCCAACCACAGCGATGAGGAGAAGGAAGACTCCAACAGCAATAACTCCTCCGATGATGTGGATGCTGGACACCAGACCCAGGCCCTTACCCCAAGCAGCCACTCCAATGAGCAGGAAACCCACCAGCTACGAGAAACAGATGAAATTAGTGCAGGATACATCTCAGAATACTAGCGTGCTTGTACAGATAAGGTTGAGGATTTGGGCCAAAAGAGAGCATTGAAGTTTGTGTAAATGTGGGGAAGAAAGAGGGACCGGGAGCTCGTCCTATTGCAATTCACACGGCTGAGAAGGGTAGCAGGGAAGGAAGAGACTGAATGTAAAAACTTTTTTTTTTTTTTTTGGAAAACTCGAGTTCACAGGCCGGATGACTAGATGGAGCTTTATGCTTTTCACTTATTCCCCACACTCACACAAACCCCCCACATCACAGGAAGTCTCCCGTCTTCCCACGGAAGTCCCCAGGAATTCCCTCTTTGCCGGAAGTTCCCAGGAATCTTCCCGGAAGCACCAACACCCCTCTCCCCACCGGAAGTCCCCTGGAGATTCTCGCCTCTAGCCTTTTTGCCCTGAAGCTCCCCCAACCTCCAAAACCTCACCATGTAGACCACGTTGAGGGCGCACAACGCATTCTTGGAACAGGCAAAGCCGCCGCAAACCATCTTCCCAGCTCTAGGGACCCAAGAAGTCCCGAGGACTGGGGGGAGGGTCTTGGGGACCGTGTTCTAGGGCTCCGATTGCTTCTGTCTCTTTAAATCGAGTCCAGCCAAACCCAAGCCTCGGCGCTCGCAGTGTCCCACTCTGCCTCGGGATTGGCGAAGCTTCGGGCTAATCCTGGATGTCGACGGCCTGAGTGCCAATCAATCCACATTACGTCACTGACCCGCCTCCCCGCCCCTCCTTTAGGTTCTTCATTGGATGAAACTTAAAACTGAGACGGGGGTATCCAGAGATTCTCATGGGGACCAAATTCTGAACTTCAAAACCCCGGATTGAAAACTGAGTTTTTTGTGATCGGATCTGCAAAAGGGCTAATCCAAGGCTCGGGAAACTGATAAAGAAGAGGGAGAAGGTGGGGCTTCGAGAGCCTACCTCAAGGGCTCCTCCTCTCGAGGGAACGCCCTCCCCCGTCCAATCCTCTTGCCCTGAAGTGACCTCACCATGACGCCATTATTTTGTTGTTATTTCGTCACACTTGGGAACACCCAAAGGAACAGGATATTGAGACATTTAGCGTGGCCATAGAGAGGCTAGGCACAGCAACACGCAGCAAATTCTCGTACGTTTGCAAGTGCATTTACTAACACATTTGTCCTTATCAGGTTGTGAATATCCCCTAAATACAGTGCAGAAAAAATAGCGGCCTCGGGTTTGTGCACTCCATATAATATGTGACAAAGTCACAAGTGAACATATCGGTGTGCTCTGCTTCTTCAGAACATATACTTACCAGATCCAGAGCTTGCAAAACATGTCAAAGGGAGAAGTCAGGGATAGGATTAATATGAAGGAAAGGAGCCTTCACATTTTCACTCTGGGGTGGGCATAATGATTGATCAATAAATATTTATAATTGAATAGGTGCATTTTGGGGAGCGTGATGGCTCTGTAGGTTAAGTACTGGGCAGCAACCACAAGGTGGAACCCACCAGTTGCTCTGCTCTGCTTTCTGCTTCCGCAAAGATTGACAAATTCAGAAACCCTATCTATTCAGAGAGGTTATGAGTCGGAACGGACTCTATGGCACTTAACATACAGTGAAGAAAGGTTTAGTTGCTCGTTTCCCCAGGAGAAAAAAGCAGTTGAAACAAATGAAAAAAGGCTTTCAACTCCACAGAATGATCTAAATTTGTGTACAGTTATTGGCTAAAAGTGTGAGTTCCAACTTGACCACTGTGTAACGTTTAGTCAGGAAACAGTGCCTGTTTCCTCATCTGTGAAATGGGGGAAAATAACAACCTATCTCTAGGGTTGTTGTGAGGATTAAATGAGTTAATTCCATATATTTCCATGAAATTTTTGAAACCCCTCATGTGTACAATGCTTAGAACATTGCTTGTTTTGTGTGCAGTGGCATCTGTTCCAACCTTATGTAGGGTTTCCTAGACTGTAAATCTCTATGGAAGCAGAAAGGCTCATCTTTCTCCTGAAGAGCAGCTGGTGGGTTTGAACTGCTGACTTTGTGGTTAGCAGTCCAATGCTTATCCTACAGCTCCACCAGCACTCTCTCACAGTTTGTTGTTAAATGCCGTGGAGTTGGTTCCAACTCATAGTGACCCTGTATAGAGTTTCCAAGGTGCAGCTTGTGGGTTTGAACCACTAGCAGTCCACTGTTAATCCTACAGCACCACACCAGGACTCCTTTCAGTGGGCTGTTGTTGCTAAATGCCATGGAGTCATAGGGACACTGTTTAGGGTTTTCAAGGAACAGCTGGTGGGTTTAAACAGCCAGCTTTGTGGTTGTGCAGTGCTGATTTTTACAGCAGCACACCAGGACAGTTTGTTGCAGTTGTTAAGTGCCGTCGAGTCAGTTCCAACTCATAGTGAACCTGTATAGGGTTTCTGAGAAGCAGCTGGTAGGTTTGAACTGCCGACCTTGTGTTTCGCAGTCCAGTGCTGATCCACAGCGCCACACCAGAAATCCCCTGTTTAGGAGGCTAAAAGTCCAAATTCAGACTGCTGACTCTGGAGAAAGGTTCGAATCTTCTTTCAGCATCTGGAGGTCCTGCATTCCTTGAAGATCTCTGTGCCTTGGCATCAGTCTCTCCCCGATCCAAGTACTTCACAGTGTCTGGCACATAGTAAATATTCAAGTTAGCTATTATTATTTAGGTCATTTTATAGGTGCCGGCTGGTAGTCCCAACACCAATTACCTTATCCTTATCTAGTTATAATCCTCTATCCTTCACAGATCAATATCAAGAAGATTTACAGGAAAAGAAGCATTTGGCAGAGTCAGAGAGGTTTGAGTCTTAAAACCACTGCCATCACCAGCCTCCTTATCTTCATCCTGTCCTCAATTCCTCATATACCCTCTTTTTCAGGTCGTAAATCAAAAGCAGGACAATGGTTTTAGGGAGAAGGGAATTGGCTGGCAATTTTCATTGTGTAATTAAGTGAATTAACAGTAGAGTAGAACCTGGAGTCCTGGTGTGGTGCTGCAGGATAATGAGCCAGAATGCAAAGTACTTTAAGCTGAAAGGTTGGCTGTTCAAACTCACCAGTGCTCCTTGGAAACCCTATACAGGGTCGCTATGAGTTGGAATCAATTCCAACAGAGTAGAACCGAACCTTTGTTCCACCTCTATCTTTGTTTCACCTATTCCTGGTCTCTCTGAGCCTTACTTTCTTTTTCTGCAGAATAGAGATACTAAGTCTACCCCTCAGACTGTCATATATGAAAGGATAGTATACATGAAAGTGTGCTATAAACTATTAAGTGTTGTTGTTGTTAAGTGCCATAGAGTTGCTTCCAACTTACAGCCTTCCTGTACAGGGTTTCCGAGGCTTTTTAAATCTTCTCAAAAGCAGAAAGCTTCATTTTTCTCCTGTGGTTGGTTAGCTCAAACTGTGGACCTTGTGGTTTGCAGTCCAGTGCTTATTGTATGGAGTCACTGTGCTCCCAATAAGTGTTTGTTGTTTTGTGTTGTTGAGTCAGTTCTGACTCATAGCGACCCTGTATAAGGTTTCCAAGGAGTGACTGGTGGGTTTAAACCTCTGACCTTGTGGTTAGCAGTCCTACAGTGCCACAGGTATTAGAGTCATGTTAATTATTGTGAAAAATGTAAGTGAACATGGAGGATAGTGGCTTTGTCCCCCACTATAGATTACTGTCCCCAAGGCTACTTGGTCCCTTAAGCAGCAAATGATTGATCAGTGGGGTAGATGAATAAGGAAAAGTTATGTTGCAAGATGTCAGTGTACAGGGCTCATTGGGTTATGCAGAGCAGATCGGAAGTACAAATGTAAACTAGGATGCAGGACTATGAGGGTAACAAATCAAGTGTGTGTGGTTATCTGTAAGAGTTTGGGATTGTACTTGGGACCTGCTTGGGGCTTGCCACATGCTTCTAGAACCAACATCCATCTTAATTAGCTACCTTAATTACAGGAGGCCCTGAGTTCTGGTGCGGTGCTGTGGGTTAATACACCAGGCTGCAAAGTCGTTTGCACTGCAAGGTTGGTGGTTCAAGCTCACCAGCTGCTCCTTGGAAATCCTATACAGGGTCACTGTGGGTCAGAATTGACTCAAGGGCACTTAACAACAACAACAACAGGAGGCCCTAGTATACTTGTTAAAGTCTCTCCATCCTCCTGTCTGAAGAGTCATAACAGTTGCTGGCTGGCAGGGCTGATGGGCCAACACTAGGGGGGGTGAGAGGTACAAGAGGTAGTGCTGTCTCAAGCTGTGGGTTTGAAACTCACCAGTCAGGAAGTGAGGCCAACAGACGGAAGGGTGGGCAGAAGCTGGATTCTGGGGCACAGAAGAAGGGGCCTCCTGGGAGCTGGGGCCTGTGAAGCCATGGGCTTCAGGGCCAAAAGTTGCTATTAGCCTGGCAAGACAGGTCTAGGCATTATGAATGCCCAGAGGCAGCTTGCTGCAGCTGCAGTGAGAGCAGAAGTCAGACGACATGCGGTGGCCAAGCAGGCTCTGAACCGCCTCAGGAAGCTTGCAGAGAGAGTGGGCAATCCTGAACTACAGGATAGCATCCAGGCCTCACTGGACATCATACGAGGTAAGGGAAGGGTCAGATACCAACCTGGGGGACCAGTAGGGGCATAGAAGGACTAACCGGAGCATACACTATTTCCTAGTCCCCAAGGTAGAGCTGGACTCTAAGGAAGAATACATCTGAGGAGAATGGAAAAAGTCATGGGAGGGGTCATTTTTTTCTTTCCCCAACTCTACTCATTCTCCCAGGGGATCAAAACGCCGGTCAATGCTGAACTGACCTCCCTGGCAATGGAGAAGTGGGTGAGCATAGGAAAGAAGGGCTATGACAGACTAATAGTAGACTTGGTCCCTGCTTGGGAAGTCCAGAGCAGGAAGCAGTTCGGGGCAGAAGGTTCTGGGACTAAATAATGTATTAATTCCCAGGGTGTGCTAAGGATCAGTGACCTCTTGTTCTCCAGCTGTAGAGAAACACACACACACACACACACACACACACACACACACACATTGAAATACACCATGCAGAGAATCTCAGGCTCCTAAGGCCACACTAGCATTCACACAACATGTTCTGGACAGCTGAATTACAGAGAAGTCCCCAGGACTCTTCTTGGTCACCTCTCCTCCCTATGTTCCTGTTCCTGTCTTCCCCCAACACACCTTCCGCTCTACCTCCTTAGTGCCATTAGAGCAAGTGATGACAACACAGGGAGGAAGTGCTGCCATAGCAACACCATCGCCACATCCTCCTGCCTCCACCCCAGCCTCCAATTCGGTGGTGGGGCCCTGGCAGGGACAGCTCTTCTCCATTCACAAAGCCCTGCCACTAGGGAAATGATAGAACTGGGGGTCTCTCCACTCCAGCCTACTTTCACCTCATTCATCTCTGAGGTGTCAAAAAGCTAACAAAAGCAGACTGCTCTGCTCATGGAGATGGTCAGAAGAAAAATGTCTTCCACCACATCTCACTCTTCTAACCATTTTAGTCCTTTCCATTCTTAGCTATCTACCTGAGAAGTTAGGAGATGTTCTCCCCATCAGGGACACCTCTTGTCAGAGCTCTCTGATGGTAGAGGCTACCAAAGCCTAGCTTGGGGAAGTGATGGTTTCATTCCTTCCTATGCTTCCTCCTTCCCCTGGCCTTTCTGAGGCTGGTACTCTCCTACCTCTGGTTCCCCACAGCCACACTTTCTCCGACAGCAATCGGGCTGGCTTAGGAGGCGTGGCCACAGAGTGCCTCCTAGGGAAAGAGTCTAA